TAAACACCCTCCTAGACAGGTACATGATAAACACCCTCCTAGACAGGTACATGATAAACACCCTCCTAGACAGATACATGATAAACACCCTACTAGACGGGTACATGATAAACACCCTACTAGACAGATACATGATAAACACCCTCCTAGACAGGTACATGATAAACACCCTCCTAGACAGATACATGATAAACACCCTCCTAGACAGATACATGATAAACACCCTCCTAGACAGGTACATGATAAACACCCTCCATTTTTCTCTAAAATAAAATATAAGTACAAAACAGCATTCTTTGATTTTCTGATTAATTATTCCATTGCTAAGGTCACTAAGGTCAAATAGAATAGTTATCTTAAAGATATTTTAGACAAGATTTACAAAGTAGAAACTCAGTTTAAAAAACAAACAACATCCAAAAATACTCTCGGTGACAGTATACACTTCGCTAAATGGATGTAATAAATTTGGAGTCTCTCCTATAATTGTGTAAACTGTGCTGGAGAAACTCCAGTTGTCAAAATGTTTTGGTTTTTAACAGAAATTAGTTTGGTTTGAAAGAAGCCCGCAAGAGTCAAGATAATTCTACTGTAAAAGAAGTAACAGCCAGATTCCAGTGATATCGATGCGATAAACTAGCTAGATGTTAAAGATGGTATTGATTAATGGTAAGTGGATTAGGCTTAGTAAACTACACAACATAACGTTCTTTAATAATTTCTTCATTTCTTTGCCTTTTCTGTAAGAGATACTAAGAAGAAGCAGTTAGCGTGAACGGTTGCGTATTGAAAGGTCCATAGTTCGAGCCTGTGATATGCCACTTTCAGCTATGAGCGCGTTTTACAAAGTGATACTCCTTTCTGCCATTCGGTTGAAAGTAGTCAAGTACTGCTGACTGACATAACTTAATCTGAGCTGGCTATTTACCCTCTAAGTCGTATAAGATTCCATTGAGTTAGCAAATCCGAAACAAACCTGTACAGACATATACTTGACTTTCATTATATATTTCTTACAGCTATAACTGAGGAGCCTGGCTTATAGAGATAAATTTACCTAGACAATTCCCGGCATAAGCTACAATTATTATTATCGTGGTTTTAGTTCCATGTTGTTGGAAAACATAGATATTAAGAGTTCTAATTAATGTGATGCAACAGTAGATGTAAACATGATTCAACATGAGAGACTGGAAGTAACACATATTTCAAAGCGAAATAAACATGATTCAACATTAAGGGTCAGATTTATAGATGAAGATGAAGAAACAGAAGATGTAAGCATGGTTCAACATGAGAGACTGGAAGTAACGCATATTTCAAAGCAAAGTAATAGCACATATAAACATGATTCAACATTAAGGGTCAGATTTCCAGATAAAGCAACAGAAGATGTAAGCATGGTTCAACATGAGAGACTGGAAGTAACGCATATTTCAAAGCAAAGTAATAGCACATATAAACATGATTCAACATTAAGGGTCAGATTTCCAGATAAAGCAACAGAAGTTGTAAACATGGTTCAACATTAAAGGTCAGATTTCCAGGTGAATCAGCAGAAGACGTAAACATGATTCAACATTAGAAGTTGGAAGTAACGCAGATTTCAAGATAAACCAACAGTATAAGTGAACATCAGAAGTTAGAAACTAATAGAGATGTCAATGCGAATTAAGGGTTCTTGTGAAAATGACTATTACAGGTCGGAACTAGAATAGATTTCAAAGTGAAGTAGCAAAAGATGTTAACACGATCCAACATTAGAGGCTAGAAATAGTAGGAAATTAGGCTTAGGCGAATCTCGTCTAATCACCTGGAAAAATCACCAGAAGTTACGATAATTATTTAATTTAGGTTCGTACATGAAAACTATAGCTTTTATACTTTGAACATTTTATTGTGACGCTACATTTGATTACTTATCTGTCTGTTGGTCTTATATAATTTGCATAACTCTTTATCGAATAAAATAACTTATTGTAACTATTTCACTGTTTCGTTTCTAGCAAGGAGGGGATTTCCGAAAATGCAATAGTCACGCATGCTTTGATATCCAATAGGTAACGTAGATGATGTCTCTAAAATGTAGTTACATTTCTTCTTTGTTGTTGTTGTTTGCTTTTAAAACACGAACGTTTACCGTTATTGTAACTCCCTCGTAAAGTCCAGATTATCGGTCTGTCGAGCAACCTATACAAACCCTATATCATCCATGGCGTGCCCTCTATGATGTAAAAACCTGTAGTAATTTAACTCTTTTTTTCCCATAAGTCTGTACTTGTAGACATATATATATATATATATTTAGATGCAATAAAAATGAAAATTCCATACAGCGTATGATTTTCAACTGTGCGAGAGCGTTGTTGTACCATAAAACTTGGGCTGGACAAAATCATAAGCATATTTTGACAGCCGTCACTATATTTTGGAACGCCAACGGAGTAGAACGGAAATATAAATCAGTTTATTGCAGGGGCGAAGATAAGTGGTTGTTATTATAAAAAAAAACGTCAATTTCATGGGATAACAGCGCCCTCTTCTTCCAACATGTCGTCACAATTCTAATTAAGCCTAAAGACAGGTGGAATTGAAGGGAGAGTATAAAAATAATGAATTTATTGACATATCATCTAATAGTATATATTATAAGGGTTGCTAATAATTATTGTTAAACTGAGAAAAACATAAATTAATACGCTAATTATAATTTGATATAAATAATTTGGTTCTTCGTCGTGGAATCAGAGGAGATGGATTAAATAATCAATGTGCAAGGATTTCAAATCAAGGCTTGTGGATCAAGTTTTACTACTAATTTAAGTTTTCTAGATACGACATCATATCATTGTCTGTAGAAGGAGCCACCAGTCTTAATAAACTCGTGGCAATATATTTCATTGCATTTATTTTTGGATTAATGTTAAGCACGAAGCTACACAATGGACTGTTCGTGCTCTGCCCAGTACGGGTATCGAAACCCGGTTTCTAGCGTTGTAAGTCCGCAGACATACCGCTGTGCCACTGGGGGGCGTTTGTGTTTAAGTTCATATCGACTTTTATGTATTTACCGTATTTTTCGGAATATAAGATGTACCCTTATTTTGAAGACAAAGTTTGGGGGAAAAAATGGCTACAGTCGCATTTGAAAGATTTTTAATGAACAAAAATTCCATTTGATACTTTAGTATATATCGTTCTAAACACAAAAAAGCTCAAAATATCAAAATAAGAAATTTTGATATTTTAAATTAAAATTTTATTTTTTAATCAGAAAAAAGGTATATAGCTTCGTAGCTTTTGACCCCCTGGTGGTTCAGCGGTAAGTCTGAAGGCTAAAAACCAGGTGTCGATACCCGTGGTGGGCAAAGCACAGATAGCCCATTGTGTAGTTTTGTGCTTAAAAACAAACAAATCGGAGCTTTTAAAAATACTTGATAAAATAAACTTCAAGAACTCTTATTATTAGATGATAAAATATTGATTTTGGTTCCTGAGTTTGTTAAATAATACAGATTTTATTTCTTATTTTTAAAAACAATGCGCACACTTTCTGCAATGAGCCTTCTTCAGGTGCTAGCTCAACAGAAGCTGCAAATAGCCTGATAAAGTATAAGTTGACGTAAAGAGCTAATCACCGCAACTGGAGAGCCCCAGAGGCCTCAGCGGTAATTCGTCAAACTTATAATGCTCAAAATCTCGTTTCGATACCCACAGTGGACAAATCACAGATGGCCCATTGTGTAGCTTTGCGCTTAGCAACAATCAGACCAAAACTGAATAAAATTACATATTTTTTGAACAAAAACCTAGAGTCTTCAGCAGGAAGTAGTTCGATGAACTGTAATATAGATGTTTACTTTTTATTTTTGTGCCCGGCATGGCCAGGTGGATAAGGCGCTCGACTCACAATCTGAGGGTCGCGGGTTCGAATCC